AGGCGCGCGCGCACACACACACACACACAGAGACAGAGGCGGACGCTCTCTCCCTCGCTCGCTCTACCCTGCTGTTGCTCTTTGCTCTCAGCTTCAGCCAAGCCGCAGCTGGGGAAAGTTGTCAACGACCACTCCTGCAGGGCGGAAGCATCGCAGCAGGAGTGGCGGCTCCAAAGCCGTCACCGGGCTCCGCTGAGCTCCGCTCCTGCCATCGGGTCCAAAGGGCAGCGCGTTGCCTCGCGGGAGAGCTCTGGCAGCTCTGGCAGCTCTGGCTCTGGCAGCTCTGGGCGGAGCGGAGGCTCTCCGGCCGAGGCGGAAGCGGCGTCTGCTCCCTCCAAGGAAAGTCCGTCTCCGGGTCCCTCCAAGGCCGCCCCTTCGACTCGCACCTGCACACCATCCGCCAGCCGACCGAGGCGAAAACCACCCAAAGACCCCGCGCTCTGCGGATCTCCTGCTGCATGTCCAGGCTCGAGCCCGTGGCGCCAACCCCCGAGGAGAAGGAGCCCTCACCTGCGGCGCTCGCAGGGCTCGCAGGGGGCTCGCAGAAGTCGCAGAAGTCGCAGCGACTACCTCCCATCGCCAGCTTCAAAGTCTTGCACACCTCATCTGAGTGTCACTGGGGTTTCGGCACCATTCGGCTGGGCCCCCTGCGTCTGTGGTTAGCATCACGGCTGCAGTGAGACCTCACCAAACTGCCCGCAACTGTTGGGCGCTCACTGAGGCTCTGGGCTGTGGGCCCGAGTCAAGCAGAAGAGTCAAGTTGGTCCTCCAAGAGGCCCGGAAGGCCACAGGCGAGTGCATTGCTGGCACAGAAGCACAGAAACCATGATCCTGATTGCCGGCAGTGTCTCGTTGCCGGCGGACCCGTCTTATGTCAGTGAGGATGGTTAGGACGGTTAGGTGTGTTAGGTGTTGCTGTCTGAAGATTTGGATTCTGTTCATCCTGCAGAGATTGACGCGATGCTGGCCCGGACAGGGACAAAGGCACTTCAGTTCAGCGACCGCATGACACACCGATCCCCAAACTCACGCTGTCCTTGGAAACCTGTCCGGCTCGACAGCTCTGAAGGCCTCCAGGCTGTCACGGAAAACGGGAACTGCAGAATTCGGGGCTGCTGCGTCCGCCGGAGGAACGGAGAGCATCAACAAGAAGTAGGCCCCACCTCGGTCCGCGGTCGGGGTCGGAGGCTTCTCCGCAAAGGAACAGATGCGAGGCGAGCACCAATGAAGCGAGTGGGGAGCTTCAGCAGCTGAAGGCGGCCTTTCCGCTGAGCGAGCTCAGCAGGACCCTGCGAGATCTGCGGAGGCCTTCTAGCGTTGGCGGCGGCAGTGCAGGAGGCTTGCCCAACTCCTGCAGCATGATGGGGATGATGGGGGGGGATGCGGCCGAGAACATGCAAAAGAGAGGGCTGTGTGCTCTTGTCCTGACTGGCCGGCGCCAAGTGCAGTGCCACCTGGCGCTGCGAGCTGCGACCATATGTCAAGTAGAAGAGAACGACTCAGTGAAGCGCCTTGGAACTTCGGGAACTAGCGGAACTTGCGGAACACAAAAAACTGCGGCAGGTGCCTGAAGACCCGCAGCCGTCGTGAAATCAAATCTCTGATGGAGATCCCCGTGCCTCTGTAGTGAAGAGGAGCTCCAAAGGCTCTGCAAGGGACTCCTCTGAAAGGCAGCAGCACCTGCGCTCTCAAAACAGACAACACAAGGAGTGGGCGTCGCAGAGCGAGAGCTCCTCTCTCTTGCCTGCAAGGCTGTCAGAAGGAAAGCCCACTGCCCAGCACGCCGTCGTGTGCGAGCCCGAGGTCGACCATCTGCCGCCCGCTCGCTTACACCGTAGACGCTGTGGCGGTCAAAGACACACCGCGGTCAGTGCATCCACGGCACGTTGCATCGAGGGGACCACTCGTCGCCTGACCCGAGGCGCGAGACACCGCGAGACACCGTCACTGCCCCCCCCCCCCCCCCCCT